TATATACAACTGCTAGATAGCTCTAGAACATAAACTCCATAAAGGCAAAAAGCCTTGTCTTTCACTATCATATCCCCAGTGCCTAGAACAATTCCTATTAGATAATAGGTGCATACATAACTCTTGCTTCTCAACAACCTGGTCTGCTGGGGGATACTAATGAAAACAAATGAGCGAGTGCAAAGTAATGTCAAGAGCTTTAGAGAGGCTGGCTGTGGTACAGAGAAGATGATGCCTCGGGCAGCCCCAGTGGCGCAGCGGTTTAGCACCACCTGCAGCCCGGGGTTTGATCCTGGGGACCCTGGATCAAGTCCCACGTCAGGCTCCCTACACGGAGCCTGCTTCTCCCTCTGCCTGTGCCTCTGCCTCTCTCTCTGTGTGTCTCTATGAATAAATAAATAAAATCTTTAAATAAATAAAAAGAAAGAAAGAAAGAAAGAAAGAAAGAAAGAAAGAAAGAAAGAAAGAAAGAAAGAAAGAAAGAAAGAAAGAAGATGATGCCTAACCAAGATTTAGGGAGTAAAGCAGGTTTTCTAGAGTTAACCAATCGTCTATAAAGGCTGAGATCTAAATGGCAAATTGGAATTGGAAGCCTAGGGGAAGGGAGGTGTGGCTAAAGTTTTCCAAACAGAAACAGTAGCTGAAGGACAACAAGGAAAAGATGATAATGACAATAAAAGCAGAAAGAGATAGACAGACTAAGGAGATATTTAGGGAAAAGAGCTGCAGAATGCAATAAATTAACAAATTTATTTGTTAGAAATGAAGGAAAAGGAATTAAAGATGATGCCCAAATCTTAGGCTTAGAAAATTGCATGAATGGCATTTTTGCCCCCCCCAAAAAAACAAACAAACAAACAAAAAAACAAAACAGAAAGAGAAGTTTGGGAAAGAAAGAAAAGTTCAACTTAGTTTCAGATGATTCTATGATTTCACAATGGAAACATCAATAAAGAGTTCAATAAATGCATTTAGGATTCAGGAGAAATAAGTGGCCCAGAAATATAGTTTTGGAAATATTTAGCACAAAGATGACAAATGACAACCACGTAATAGATGGGGTCACCCAAAGTTGGTTCACTAACATTACACTAGCTCACAATGCTGAAATGCATCAATATTTAACGCCGTGAAAATAAGAGAGGCCCATAAAAGAAAGGCTTTAGAGGAAAAAATGAAAAAGGAAAATTAGAAGACTGTGATGTTACAGAAACCCAGAGACTACAACATTTCAAGGTGGTAATGGTGAGCATGTTAAAGAGCTGTCCATAGGTTGAATAAGATAAAAACTTTAAAAAGTAAACAGGGAAAACCAGCTCTATCAAATTAGAAAGTACTGATCTTTTGATTTGTTAAAGTGAAGTTCCCTAAGAACTATAGGGGGTAAGAAAAAACAAAGACGAAAATAAAATCAACAAATTCTAGTACATGGGAAAGTTTGGAGTTTCCTTTGAATCCTGTTTACTCCATTCAATTTTCTCCCAGTGGGATTTTACAATTTGAGTTAACAGAGAAATCATGCAATAAATACCCTACATTCTTGATTTTTGGTTTTCAAGCTTTCTTGCTAGAGAAACTAGAGGCCCATTCTGTAACAAGGGCACTATTCTTGGCAGTTAATCCAAGACTGTATAAAACAAACAAAACCACCAAAAGGATCAGGTCTCTCTCCCTGTTTAAATCACTAACACTCTTAGAGGCTATGTCAATAAGCTTGTTCTATAGCAAAGATACACGAGTGCTTTTCCTTTTTTTAATTCAGTCCGCAATTAAAGAGGCAATCTGGCTGAATGGATTAAGCTCAAGGCTGGAAGCCAGAAGCTTTAAAAATTAAATTCACCTCTGCTAATTACTTTCCAATTAACCCTGAGAACATTCTACATTTCTCTCACAAAACAAAATAGCAAATACTTAAATAATTCTAAGCCAGAATGAGATAATTAGCCAAACCAAAATTTAAAATTATAAATAATTATAAAAACAAAGGCAAGAAAACACTAGTAGATACGACATCAAAAATAAGTTTTTAAATCCTCATGACAGTTCCAACTGTTTACTAACAAAATCTGATTTGTGTTTGTGGGAACAGAACAGGAACTAGGACTCATACACTAAATGGGCAAAATTTCTCTGGGGTCTTTCAGGATTGGTATTCTAAAAGGAAGAGGTCAAGGAATGAGGCAAATAAAGAGATCTCTCCCTTCACTCTCATTCTGGCATGTGATACTCTAATCTGGCCTCCCAGCTTTCTCCCTCCTCAAATAGGAAGTGGCTGCTCAGTAAGCAAGAGGAAAGAGATTTAACTTAGAAACCACTCGGTAACAAGAATAAAGTCGTTATTAACATGGAGTTGAAGTCAGATAAGACCTGTTTCAAGTAGGGGGAAAAGCAGTTAAGAATCATAAAAGTGGACCACAATCAGCTTGTAGGTTGCCATCTCCTACTTTAGGCCAATGCTCATCAACCACCAGGCATTATACCAGTGCAAACACATCCCCATTTTAACATTAAGGAAACAAAGATTAGGAGAGGTGAGTCACCAAGCTAGCAGGTGGTATTTTAATTCTTATGATAATCTTTAAAAACCTGCTTACTCTATACCTATTCTGGATCACCAAAAATATAGGTCCTAAACAATAAGGTTGTAATCAATCACGTGCTGCTGTGTGATTTCAGAGACTTCATTTGTCATTTATGTTGATAAACAAGTGAACTTCACATGAAGATGAAAGGATACTGAAGCTCACTTTAGAATGCACTTCTCACCATAACAGTGTGAGAGCTGAGTCATCACTGCCACCCAACCGCACACCAAGCACCTCCAGAAAGCGCCTTCTTTGAACAGTTAGGCATATATTCATACTGTTGGTAAGATGCACCAAACGTACCAATTTGTAACAGTTCACTAACAATAAATGTAGCTAGTGCAAGTAAAGACTAAAGGCACATTCCCAAGTCCAGCAATAATTGGATAATCCACTCATTTAAAGATTTCAAGAATGCTCCTGGGGAAAAAAAAAAGGGGGGGAGAGGGGAAAAAAAAAAAGAAAAAGAATGCTCCTATATTAGTTTCCTACTGCTGCCATACTTCAAATTTGGTATCTTAAAACAACAAAAATGTATTATCTTGTAGTTTTTTAGAAGTCTGACACATCTCACTGGGCTAAAATCGAGGTTGGTAGCAAGGCTCTATAGGGAAATTATTATATTTTCCAACTTTAAAGACTGCCTACATTTTTTGGTTCATGGCCTTCATCCTCTATCATCAAAGTCAGCAACAGCCATTTGAGTCCTTCTCACATTTTATCACTCTGATCTCGCTTCACTCTCAAATCTCTCTGAGTCCTCTGACTACCCCATTCACTTTTAATAACCACTGTGATTACCATCAGCACACCCAGAATATCAAGGAAAATCTCCCTATTCTAAGGTCAGCTGATTAGCAACCAATCCATCTAATAACTTTAATTCCCCTTTGCCATGTAATGTAACATATTCAAAGATTCTGGGAATTAGGATATCTTGGGGTGGGGCATTATTCAGCCTTCCACAGCTACTATACTAGCCTTGTCACAAGGCAAATAATGTACCTCTGCAGGCTATCAAATTGTTCCTCATTAACACTGACATCCAAAGACTGCTCACTAACAAAGTTCAGGGTAAATATAATGTCTGATTATAATGAACTAGTAAAAAAGCCTCAAAGACATTAATGATGATTTTTTTTACAGTATATACATATGAACAGGCTTTCTCTTCAACATTACTTGAATCAAAATATAAATATGGCATTGGATGTCCTTCTACTATTAAACTAACCATGATTTGGTTTTTGGAAACCACCATTATTTATCACATTATTTACATTATTTATCACATATTTATCACATTATACCCTAGATACTACTTTGAATTTCATTGACTTCATTCATTGTCTTTTATTCAAATTGTGAATTTATTTTGGTTTCAAAATTGGGTCGAAGCTCTAAGCATAATGGAGTTTATTACATCTAATTCTTTGTTTCTATATACTTAAGTAACAATATACTAAAAATAATTATCCACAAATTTATTTTCTCCTTAAAAGGAATTTATATAACTTTGTTTTAAGAAAGACTGGAGATAAGCAATAACAGCATGGCATTTGGAGTCAGATATGAACTACTAGCTCTGCAAGTTACTGGCTTTTTGACCTTGGACACACTGCTGATACTCTTTACACATGCAATTTCCTTATTTATAAACTGAAAACAATACTACCTACCCTATAGGCTTATCAAGAGGAGAAAGTGAAATTATATATGTAAAATGCTCAGCATACCTAGCCATTAGCAAGTACTCAACAAGATTAATATTTATTTTACAAAATTCTATCCAACTTTAAGATGAAAAAGAGACAATTTATTAAACTACAACTTTAAGTAATTTAAAAGAATACTATTACATACTCAGTATCTACATTTTCTATGGGTCTAATCGATTTTAATTTATCTTTCATTATAATTATCAACTATCAGTCCCTTCATATTTATTTATCTTTTAAGTTTGTAACTTGTCCTATCAAAAAGAAAAATCCACTTGGCTTCGTAAGAGCTTTGCTATCACAGTAATTATTAATCACAGTAATTATTGCAGTTTTGCAAGTATAATGGTGGATAACCTTTTAACAGTTATAGTCTACCTTTCTAAAAAGAAATCACTGTAATGTTAATGAAGAGACTAGAAAAAAATTATAAAATGAATATCAAAGTCCTAAATGCCTTTCAAAGTAAATACTAGAGTCAACTTTTAAGCTGCATTCATCACTTGAAAATAGTATCTAATTTGAAAAATGACTTAAATATGCAAGAAAGGATTGATAGAGGTTAAATGAATTAATGCTAAAAATAAATATAAAAAATTTATACTTTTATAAAAAGTTAAAAATAAACAATTAGTAAATTCATAGGAAATATATCACACAGTTGCTTTTTTACATTATCACGTACAAAAATACTTACAGTTTGATAATATGAGGATGACGGAAGAGTTTTAGATTTTGAATTTCTCGTTTTATTTTTCCAACAACATCTAAACTGCGAATCTTCTGTCTATTTAAGATTTTAACTGCCACTTTATGGCCTGTCAATTGATGTTCTCCAACTAAAGAAAAGAAAAAGAAAAAACTTGCTGTCATAGCAACATAGTCATTTATTCATTCTTCCTTCCACTGTAACTCCAAATTTCTTCACTCACATATACCACTTTTATATAACTTATTGCAAAGTTCTTTTTTTTTTTTAAGATTTATTTATTTATTTATGATAGACAGAGAGAGAGAGAGAAGCAGAGACACAGGAGGAGGGAGAAGCAGGCTCCATGCAGGAGCCTGACGTAGGACTCCATCCCAGGTCTCCAGGATCAGGCACTGGGCTGCAGGCGGCGCTAAACCTCTGCGCCACTGGGGCTGCCCAAAGAACTTAAGTTCTTTATACTTCTGTTTCTTCTACTAGAGTATGCACTCCTACAGGAAAGAAAATGCTTCTTAGTCTTCTCTAAATCATCAGTACCCAATAGGAGAAGTTCACTGAGTATTTGTGGAAAGGATTACAGAATTCTGTATTACTGCAAAAAAAATAAAAATAAAAATAAAAATAACCAAGTTTGGAACATCTTTTGGATAGGACAGAATTCACTATGTTTTGTTAATCTCTTCATTTCTTCATTTCTGGTTAATGTCAGTCATTGTATTTTAGAAGAATGAATGACTGCTGTAATAAGTTAAAAACTTATAACTGGTTTCATTACTATTTTCATCAGAAAATACACATGTAGCCCTTATTTTATGGGGTTTTTGCCTTTTCCATAAAGCCTTACTATTTCCCCTTATTTAATGGAATCTCTACTTTTTTCAAACCCTCATAAGTATGTTTACAAAGCTCAAGTATCATTTATCATTTTAGGCTTTTATAAATATTTGTGGTCTTAATAAATCATACAACATGAGCTCTGAGCTCATATCCACCCTCACCTCAAGTAAGGCAGTCAGTATTCATCTGAATCTCCCACAAGCACATAGCACAGTATTATGGACATAATACATGCCAAATAAATATATCTTGCATTAAATGAAATAATAGGCCTTTCTCTTTCATATAACACATTCATAGTAACCACACTACAAGTATTATCCAGATACTGCTCAAATGAAAAATCCCTCCACTAGAAATCAAATTTGTCAGCCTCCCCTCCTATTTCCCTCAATTACTATTCTAAATATTGACCATTCTCCTCACAATACCTAGTCAACCCTTGACGCCTTTCAGCAAATTCCCCTTCCATTTCTTTGGGGGGAAATGAAGTCCTTATGAGTGATTTCCTCTATCTTCAAGGCTTGATTATATCCAGATCTCTCTTTGCTCCAGTTTTAGATGTTTTCACCCTCCTCCTGTTCGAGGCCAGTGTCATCAACTTGTGGCCTTGATCTCATCTCTTCTACACTTTCCTTATACTCAACCTTTCTATTTTCTAATAGCTCCTTTTCCTTAGCCCATCAGTATCCTGTACCAAATCTTTCATTTACCCTGCATCTTCCTTTAGTTTTGAACATTTGTTTCATCAACATTTCTCCAAACAGTAATGTACATTTATTGTCTGTTCCTCCTCCCTTTTCACTCTTCTAGTATCACTGCAATCTGGCTTCTGCCTTAACTCCTCTACTGAAACCAAATGGTCACAAAAGAACTGTTAATTATCAAGCCATGTATACTTTCCAGTTCTCAGATTGCTGTAATCTCTGTTGCAACTGACAACATTAATTACTCTCCCTTTTTGGTGGCACTTCTCTCTCCTGGTTCTTCTACTAACTCTCACATGGTCTCCTTTAGGGCTTCCACCTGTTCTTTAAAATGTAGTGTCCCCAAAGTAGGGGACAAACTTATAGTGTCCCCAAATCTATAGCCAAAGTAGATCCTTAAATTATCTAACCCATCTCTTATACATCCGATGTGCCAAAGACTCTGCCCTCTTCTTCAAATTCATGTTATCTCAATACTAGTATTATTCCATAAATACCTCAAATTCGGCTTGTTCAGAAGTAAACTCAGCATTTTCCGCCCCTTCCTCCACCAAACCTATGTCCTCTATTTCACATGATGGCACACAGCCTATATGCTAAAAATCAAAGAATCAGGTGACAGTTTCTCCTAAATATTTCTTGGAGTCAAGTTTCAAATCATTAAAACAAATATGTTAATAACAATGATAGAAAATGACAATGACATTTATTGCTTATTCTATCCTAAGCATTATTCTAAGTACTAATTACCCTGCTCACTCAACCCCACAATTCTATGAAGTATTATTATCCTCCATTGTAGAGATGAGAAACCTGAGGCAAAGAAAAGTAACTTATCCAAGGTGATGCAATACGAAGTGGCACAACATGTAATCTCAAGCTGCCTCACTTCAGTTCATAGGAAGCAAGTTTAACTACACATAAAAATTCCCCCGTCCAAACAATACACACATGAAATGGGCTGACCTAGGAAGAACTGAGTTTCTTGTTATTAGAGATTATTTTTACCTTTGTAACTTTCTCAAGTGGTAAATTATCATCTCAAAGACTTCAGTGAAGCTTGAAATTTACTTTGCTTACATAATAAAACAAACAAATTGGGAGCCATTATATCAAGGTCAAGCAATCTATCCTAAGATTCCAAAATATGTCTCCAGAACTCCAAAAAAATATTATCAATTTCAGGGATTTTCTTTTTTTATTTTTTTTTAATTCCAGTGTAATTAACATTTACTGTTACATTAATTTCAGGTATTCAATACAGTGATTCAGCAATTCTACACATTCCTCAGTGCTCATCATGGTAAGTGCACTCTTAATGTTCCTCACCTATTTCACCCAACACCCCCCTCTCCCCTCTGGTAATCACCAGTTTGTTCTCTGTATTTAACAGTCTGTTTTTGTTGTTGTCTCTTTTGTTTGTCTCTTAAATTCCACATATGAGTGAAATCATATGGTATTTGTCTTTCTCTGACTGACTTCACTTAGCATTATATGCTCTAGATTCATCCATGTTGTTGCAAATGGCAAGATTTCATTCTTTTTTTACGGCTGAGTCAATTTCAGGGACTTTCTACTCCATTAAAATAATCTAATGGTTTCTTGATGCCTGCATAGTTTAGTACTCACCTTTGGGAATTTCATATTACCCATACACTTGTCTGCAAGGCCTAAAAAATAGATCTCTCCTCAAATCCCAGCCTCAATAAAAGTAACCAATGCTGCATCCCCTTGTCAATACAAAAAAAAAAAAAAAAAAAAAAAGTTCACTTCCTCCTTCCCTATTTGATAATTGAAACTACTGACTACTAAGAACATATACACTCTTTCCAGATCAAAGAAATAAGAGCAAAGGCTCTAACAAACAGATGGATTCTTGGTTTTTTAATTCCATATGCTTAAACCAAAAAAAAAAAAGAAAATAGAAAGTGAAATTACTCAAAAAAAAATTTAATGACAAAGTATTACTTTGTCAACAAACTCAATAAAGCTACAGTATACAAAATCAATATGCAAAAATCGGTTGTGTTTCTATACACAAACAATGAACTATCAGAGAAATTAAGAAAACAATGCCACTTATAATTTCATCTAAAGAATAAAATACTTAGGAATAAATTTAACCAAGGAGGTGAAAGATCTGTACACTGAAAATATAAGACACTGATAAAAGACACAATAGATATATCACACTCACAGAAGAACTGTTAATGTTAAAATCTCTCTCCTACTTAAAGCATCCTACAGATTCAATGTGACCTCCATCAAAATTCTAATGGAATTTTTCATAGAATCAGAAAAAAAATCCTAAAGTTTGTATGGAACCACAAATGACCCCAAATGCCAAGGCAATCTTTTTTTTTTTTTCCCCAAGACAATCTTGAGAAAGAACAAAGCTAGAAGAATCACTGTTCCCAACCTCAAACTATATTCCAAGTTTTAAAAATCAAAACAGTTGAATACTGGCATAAAAATAAGACACATAGGTCAATGGAATAGGATTGAGAACCCAGAAATAAACCTATGCATATATGGGTCAATTAATTTTCAACAAAAGAGTCAAGAATATACAATGGAGAAAGGATAATCTCTTCAATAAATGGTGCTGGGAAAAGTGGACAGCCAAATATAAAAGAATGAAACTAGAACCCTATCTTACACATTACACACACATCAACTCAAAACAGATTATGAAGCCATTAAACTTCTAGAAGAAAACATAGGTGGTAAGTTCCTTGACGTAAGTCTTGATAAAGATTTTTTTAGATTTGACCAAAAAAGCAATGACAACAAAAGCAAAAATAAACAAGTGAGACTACATCAAACTAAATTTTTTGCACGGAAAAGGAAACAAGATGAAAAAGCAACCTACAGAATGGAAGAAAATACTTGCAAATCATATATCTGATAAGGGGTTAATATCCAAAATATATAAGGAACTCTCGAAACTAAATAGAAAAAAAAAAACTGATTAAAAAATAGAGGAACAGGGGCACCTGGATTGCTCAGTGGTTGAGCATCTGCCTTCGGCTCAGCTAGTGATCATGGCATCCTGAGATCAAGCTCCCATCAGGCTCCTTGCAAGGAGCCTGCTTCTCCCTCTATCTCTGCCTCTTTCTCTGTGTCTCTCCTGAATAAATAAAATATTTAAAAGAAAAAATAGAGGAACTGAATAAACTTCTTCCAAATAAGACATAAAAATGGCCAACAAATACATGAAAAGGTACTCGACATCAATCATCAAGGAAATGCGAATCAAAAGTATTATGTATATCACTTCACACCTGCATTTTAAAATAGCTGCCACAAAAAAAAAAAAAGAGAGAGATAAGTGTTGCCAAGAATGTGAGAAAAGAGGAAATACACACTGTTGGTGGGAATATAAATTGGTACAATCACTATTACAAAAACAGCATGGAGGTTGCTTAAAAAACTAATAGAAAATTAAAAAACTAATAGAAAACTATCATATGATCCAGCAATCCCATTTCTGAGTATATACCCAAAAGAAAAAAAAATGAAAACAGGGTATCAGAGAAATATCAGCACTTTCATGTTCACTGCAGCATTATTCACAACAGCCAAG